TGCGCTCCTGCATGGTCCACCCTCTCCTTCTGCCTACTTGGCAAAAGCAACAGAAAATGAGAACCTGTGTCTACAGGCATCGGAGCGTTTTATCCAGGGAAATACTTGAATTTAGAAAACCTCATGCCACAGATTCATAAAGATTTTATTTTGCTTTTTAATTTAGAATCCATGCCCAAAAGAATCTTGCAGCAATACATGCAATAACGATCCAAGGAATCAAAAAAAGAGCATCAGCTCCTTGCCCCTCGGCCCATCTTTTCTCACATCCCAAAAGAAAGCTTCTTTTTTCCCACATTGGACCACTTGTTAGCATCATGTTAGGCAAAGCTCATGGGAAGGCTGAAGTGCCTCCTGCTCTGCTCTTGAGTTTCTGAGAAGTTTTTCTTAGGACCAGACCAACCTGTCACAGGCTCCGCTGCGGGAACAGTCCGGCAGACTTGGTGTGAACGGACGTGAACGTGAACTCTCAGAGAGGACTCAAAGACAAGGGCCTCCAGAAAGCAGTGAGGCTGCAATAAAACGCGTCTGTGAGGGCAGACCCGCACCCCTGTCTCAGGGCATTTCTGCCCTGTTCACATGGTGTGGCTCATTCTCACCCGCGTCGGACAGCGTCTGACCCAGTGGTTCTCGCCTTCTCACATCATCCGGTTCTGCTCTTCTCTCACACCTCAGTCACTCCCAGGTGCTAAGTCAGCTTTGGAGGGAAAGCGTTGTGAGAGAATCATCAACGTGTCTGTGCGAAGTTGAGAGGAGATTAAACAGAGACTGTTTAAAGCACCTCTTCACAGAATTTGGTAAAGTGTGTGTGTGTGTGTGTGTGTGTGTGTGTGTGTGATGAATGTGTGTGAGTGTGTGTGTGACTGAATGAATGTATGTGCATGAGTGGGTGTGGGTGTGATGAACCAATGTATGTGAGTGTGTGTGTGTGTGTGTGATAAATGAATGTGTGAGTGTGTGAGTGTGATTGAATGGATGTATGTGATGAATGAATATGTGTGTGACTGAATGAATGTGTATGAGTGTGTGTGTAATGAACTAATGTGTGTGTGGTGAATGAATGTGTGTGTGAGTGTGTGTGTGTGTGTGTGTGATGAATGAGTATGTGTATGAGCTAAATGAATGTGTGTGAGTGTGATGAATGAATGTGGGTGAGTGCATGTGTGTGATGTGATATGTGTGTGTGTGCCATGACCTGAATGTGAAGGTCAAAGGACAACTTTCACCCAACCCCACAGTCAAGCTTTAAAAAAAAGTTTGCATTTTATTTATGTATTTACAGAGAGAGAGAAAGAGAGAGACAGAGACAGAGACAGACAGAGAGTATGAATGCACGTGCATGTTCCACAGCAGAAATGCAGAGCTTTGGTGACAGCTCTCAGAATTCAGTTCTCGTTGTCCAGCGTGTGGGTTCCAGGGACTGCACTCGGGTCTTCGGGCACAAGTGCCTTCACCAGCCGAGCCGCTCCTCAGTCCTGTTATCATTATCACTTAGAAATTATTATTTTTACTATTACAGCTACCACAGCTTCCTCCCCTCCCCCTCCCCCTCCTTTTTAAGACTGATTTTACTCTGAGCACATGAGTGCGGGTGCCCTCACAGGCTAGAGGCATCAGATGCCCTAGAACTGGAATTACAGGCAGTTGTGAGCTTTCTGACCGGTACTGGGACTTGAACTGTGGTCCCCTGGGAAAGCAGTTTGCTCTCTTAACCGCTGAGACCTCTCTGCATCCTCTGGAATTTCCCCTGCTGTTCATGTAGGGAAACTCTGGCTATCGTTATACTGTCTTGTGACTCAGCTAAATGTGCCCCAGTGGCTTTTCAGTAGTCACCTCGACTCAGTGTTCCTGTAGGAAATTCAGGTGGCATTTTATATGACTAATCTGCATACTGCTTTTGCTGGAAATCTCTGTGGCCATACTTTTTTATCTGCAGGCCTGTTTTCAATAACCTTTTGTATCATCCTAAAATATTCACACGCAATGAGAAACGGGCTCCGCTAATAAGGACCTCTGTAATTATACAAAATGAATGACCAGGATGATTACACTGAGTAAAAACCAAATCAGGGCTGTTGTATGAGCTCGGCTGATTCCATGCTGGGTGGTAGCCCTGTTCTTGTTCCTAGTTCTAGACAGCACTCGCATTGGTTTGTTGCGAGTCTTTACTTAGGAGACTGTCGGTTACTTTGGAGTTGCACTTTATTCATTTGAGGATAAAGGCAGGTTCAAGAAACAACCACTCTAATCCTTAAGAGTGACCTAACTCGGGACTATTGCAGAGGTGCCAGGGTAATCCCAGTGGGATATTTAACTCGAAAGGCAAAAAAGGAGGAAGGCTTCATAGTCAAGGAACAGAGTGATGGGTCAATGGCCTGAACTTGCTAAGAGCAGACTCCGTGAGCAGAACCTGCTTGCTACCCCCGTTTGGATGGTCTGAAGGCAGTGTACTGGGTGGTTTGTGTGTCAACTTGACACAAGCTATAGAGTCATCAGAGAGGAAGGAGCCTCAGCTGAGGAAATGCCTCCTTGAGCTCCAGCTGTAAGCATTTTCTCATTTAGGGATCATGGGGGGGCGGAGCCCATGGTGGGTGGTGCCATCCCTGGGCTGCCGGTCCTGGGTTCTATAAGAAGGTAGACTGAACAAGCCATGGGAAGCAAGCCGGTGAGCAGCGCTCCTCCGTGGCCTCTGCCTCCGCTTCTGCCTCCAGGATCCTGCCCTGAGTTCCTGTCCTGACTTCCTTCAGTGATGAACAGCAATGCTGAAGTTGTCGGGTCTGAGGAAACGCTGAAGGAAGACCCCAGACTCAAACAGTATGGAAGAGTAAAGAGTGTGTATTAATAGTCCAGCCTATGTGGGGTCGCTCACCTGTGCAAAATGGCTGAGACCCTGAGAGCGGCGTGCAGGCTCCTTGGAAGCACAGCTAGGGGAGTTTCAGGGACAGTTAGGTCATCGAACATAATTGGTTAAGCAAGCAGCAGTTACATTAGTGTTCTTTGAACTGGTGGAGGTTTTATCTTTGGACATCCTTGGGTACGTTTCAAGGGGAGTGCAGGAACTGTCCTCGAGACACTGTGGGGCTGACTCAGGCCTTGTCCATGTTCTCTCCTCGTCCCTGAATGTAATTCGTTGACAAATGGCCCTTCGTTGACAAATGGCCCTTCGTTGGGAGAGACACCTGTTTACCCCTCCCAGAGACTGAAACCTAAATTCAGTTGTAAAAGTGGGAGAGTTTAACCCCTTCAACGTGTAGGCCAAATAAACCCTTCCCTCCTCCTCAGCCTGCTTTTTGGTCATGGTGTTTCATCGCAGCAACAGAGACCCTGACTAAGACACAGACCATCGCCAGAAGGGAAGGGTGAGGAAGTTGGCCATATGTCGCAGGTACTCAGGTGTCAGCAGGGGTCCATCAGGAGTCTACTCGTGTAGCCAGGCTGGAGGCTGCCTGGACCACGTGGGCAAGAGGGCCTGGAGGAACTTACTCAAGTTTGGCCAAAGGGTCTTTGTCACCACAAGCCTGAAGACTGCATGGTCGGCCTTTAAAACAGCATTTGGGCAGGTCTGTAAATGCCTGTGTGGCGTTTTCAGAGCGAGAAGCACCGCTGCCCTCCATAGCGACTGGTAAGGAATGCAAGAGAGGTGAGAGATACAGCCTGGACAGTGGATGAGGCTGGAGAGCATAGTGCACTGATGGACCTTGGAGGATCAAAGACAAACACTATTAGCCTGAGCGAAGGACGGGGGACTGGAGAATATGGCCCCATCAGAAAGATTTGCCTCAATTTTGACACTCAGGTTACTCATAGCTAGGGAAGGAAAAACAAGTAAGTCTGAATTTTCGTTAACCCTTAAAACAAAAATACGTCTTTCTTTGGTAATAGTCAAGCTTTGTGAGCCCCTTTGTTTATTTTTATAATAGGCAAATATACTCAACAAAAAAAACTGATATCTTCACGATCGCATGACTGAAATAGAGTAAACGAAGCAGGAAAGAACAAGGTACGAGCGATCATGAGTGGAATTAAGAAAACGCTCAACCTTGACACAAGCACTTGCTTCTAGTGGGCCACAATGGTACCATTCTTTCCCTGTTGTCTTTAGGCCTAAAGGATTAAGAGCAGAGGAAGAGACGGGGTTAGGATGGATTATATTTAACATGGCTCTAATAAAGTGGAGGTCTGTCCCAAGCCCTGGGGCCTGGCCACAGGAGCTGGCTTGGCGTTTCAGTTGGGAGAGATTTAAAACACCCAGGCATTTGTTTTGCAGAAGACACGAACTTCAGAGAAAATAGCATAGTTCCTCCTTGACTGGACCCCCGGGAATGTGAGGGAGAGATTTAAGGTTGGTTTCTTTTGAAATAAAAATGAATTCACTGGATTGGAAATCAGCCTTCTTGGTGTTACTTTATCACTCAAGGTTAATTGTTCCCTTGTCTCTGGGGACTGGGTCTAACACAATTAGGACATTGTTAAGCTGTTGTTCCAATGGTCTACTCCCACAAGGCAATTCAAAAGGGCCTACAGTACCCTGAGATTTCTGTGAACTGAAGCCAGCAAGGCTTCCTCCCACTACTGACAGCCATTGCACATGGAGGCTTCCTTCAGAGAGTGTGATGTCTCCGAATAGGCAGTGAAGTTGTCAGAAGGGAGCCCTGGTGCCGAGGTGGACCACTGGGCTTTCTCCTTTGCCTTCCTCTGTCGTGTGTGTGTGTGTGTGTGTGTGTGTGTGTGTGTGTGTGTGTGTGTGTGTGTGTGT